AAATACATTTTGTAGCAGTGCGTCACGTCAGAATAATGTTTATAATAAAATAGTCAATCCCAGCCAAATCTAGGTCAAAGGGTCAGATTGCGTGCATATAATTATAGATAGTTAGTTAAAACAAAAAGTATTTGAACTTTTGACGGTTGTTTAACATCTATGCACGGTTACTAAACTAGTAACAGTGATATATGAAAACCAGAAACATGTTAGTAGTCCGAATTTTTGCACAGTCGAAAATAAAGCGGAAATTCAACAAGCAGTCGCAAAAGCGAGCGATTGAAAAGCGGAAGCGGGCGAGAGGTTGGGCGAAATGAGTTCTGTACTTCTTTGTTTGATGAAGCGATGCTGATGCCACATTGTCGCCATAATGAGGCCACAATGAAGCGAAGCGTTAACCGCCTAACTTTTTAATGTCGCGACATTGAAGCGATGCTGAAGCCATAACAATGCCATAATGATGCGATGCTGAAGCGAAGGTGAAGCTGAAGTGAAGCCAAAGCTTCCGCGAGAACTGTACTGTACATGTACATGTAAACATTGATTATGAATGTGAAACACAAGTTAGGACGAAAATAATTGTCATATGTGGTCGCAAGGTCAACTGCATTTGAACTCTTTCCCGAGAGGGGTGCTCGGGTAAGCGCCCACCCCTAAAAAATCATGATTTTCTGAGTTGAGGACACTGGGACCAACGCAGTCCAGTACGGTATATACCCTAAGAGTTTAAAAACAGTATACTTTATGTCAATGGGTAGCGTAATTTTGTTTGTTTCGTAAATTATGCAAAGCCAAAAACAGCTACATATTACAGAGTGCCTTAGGTAAAGCCTAACCCCCCCCCCCCAAGTAATTGCATTACCCCCCCCCCCCCCCCCGTGTTCTGAAGTGGAACATATACAATTGAAATGGGGGAACAGGCACTTGAAGGGCAGAGTTAGGATAAGAGTTATGGGTGAGGGGGCTCTTAGGAACTCTTACCGTATTTTTTAAATTTACACTGGGCTACTAGTACTCGGACAACACAATTATTTTGGTTGTCCATACGATTTTCAGTGACTCAGCATGTGCAGTGTTAGTACCCGTAATATTTGACGCAATATTTTCTAACGTCTAAAAGAGTTGTCCAAATGGTAGTCATACGATTTCTTTATTTTTTGTGAACTTACTTTCTTTGAGCCTGGCATCTAGTTCTTTGTGTTCTAGCAGTTTCTTTCGATACTCTTGTATCGCTTTCTCTCGTGGATCGGCCGCCATGTTGATAATAAAGCAATGAACTGTGGGAGTGTAAACAGGAAATTCACCCGAGGGCGCACTTTACTCAGAAAATAAATCTACTGTTCATGTACTGTCTGCTGCAGAGCTCATTATAGAAAGAGCATTTGTGCGAAAGTTGCTTATTCAAGAAACGTTTGTTTTCAGCGAGTATTCCAGTAACAAACATGCTTGGTGTCTCGAGAATTCTGTACGGTGGTAGTGTTGCCGCTAGAATGTGTAGAAACTATCTTCCATGTCGTTGGTTCGCCTCCATGACGACGTCGCAGTCATTCTCGGGCATAAGAAATGATGATAGGAAACAGTCAGCCAATAAATGCGCTAAGCTGATCAACAGAAATATCATTCGAGTGAGTGGGAGAGATGCCAGTGATTTACTGCAAGGTCTCATCACAAACGACGCAAGTTTGTTGACTCGTCAGAACCCATCACTTTATACCATGCTACTAAATCAACAGGGCAGAGTACTTTATGATGCAATTATTTACGGTATTTACAAAGAGGGCAATGACGAAGCAGTTTATTTGGTCGAATGTGAAAACGAATTGGCACCAGAGTTACAAAAACACATGAAAATGTTCAAAATACGCAAAAAAGTAGACATTTTAAATGTATCATCAGAATACGAAGTCTGGGCTGCGTATGAAGTCTTTGGTAAAGTTGATTACCCTACTTCCATGGTTAACGAGTCAATATGTGTGGCTGATCCAAGATTATCGACATTTGGGCGCAGACTGGTTGTCCCGAAAAATACCAATCTTCCAGAATTGATTCCGGGGTTAACTGAAATGGATGTTCATAACTACCATACACATCGTTACATACATGGCATTTGCGAAGGCAGTAATGACTTGCCTGTAGGTAATGCTTTGCCACTAGAATCCAACTTGGATTATATGAATGGAGTGAGTTTCCATAAAGGTTGCTACCTTGGACAAGAATTGACTGCACGAACCCATCACACTGGAGTCATCAGAAAACGACTCATGCCGGTGACTCTCACTAACTACGAAAATGATGCCATCATCAACGGCAACACAACTGTCAGCACTAAAAATGGAAAAAATGCTGGAAAATTTCGCAACCACATTGGAATATATGGTTTAGCACTTTTAAGAATTGCACATACCCAAGGCATCCTTACAGTTCCTAGTGCAGATGGGAATCTAATAACGCTAGAGCCATCAGTACCAAAATGGTGGCCTCATCAGTCTATGGACTCTATACCAAAACTACACAGTGAACAGTTCTCAGCTGGGTCTGAAATGAAGAATTGAATATATATAAATATACCAGTATATTGAATATATAGATGATTAAATACTTCATTGTATGTAAATTAAAAAAAAAAAGTGTTTCACATTTACATAATTGGTCACAATAGACCTATACTGAATCAAATACTCAACAATCATCATCCTAATGTTAACCACAAAACATAGTACCAATGTGAGAAACATATAGGGTTCTGTGGCTATTATAAGTATTACTCAGTTCAGTGCTGTAATACACATAGGGTTAATTACATTGTTAGAACTAAAAGTTACATATTTTAGTGTTTGTGTTGTCTGCTAAAGCTTCTGAGATAATTCACAACAAATTACCTTGAACTGATAATTCTGCCAAATTTATTTCTCATCATACATTTGTATGACTTGTTAGGAAGTAGTAGGTACGATATCATGCAAATTCTGCATGATTTCTGTTATTTGAAGTATGAAGTAATTTGATCATGTGCTAGATCACTTGGAATAATGTATATATGCTATTTACCGTAATTTATTTGGAAAATTAAATTGGAATGTTTGAAATTTGTTTGTGTAGTTAAGTTGTGTACATTCCTGAAAGGATATGGTACAGTATTTCCACAAACTTGATAACTTTATTGCAGCTGAAATTTATACTTGTCATTAATTTTCACTGTTTTGTCATAATGTAAATAAAGTATTTCACAGGATTTGATTTTTCTGATTTATCTCTTCAGAAAAAATGAAAGTGAAAAATAAAGCATTCTGCAGTACAATAATGCAGTATAATTAGTCCTTGTATATTAGTATATATGTTCTAGAAATAACATTTAATTCATGTACAGTATTTGCTGTATTAGAATTTGCATTTATTATATGCCAGATCATTAAAATATGACTAATTGTCACCATAGATACATCTTAAGTGACCGGGCAACTACATTTGGAGTTGCATTCATACTGTAAATACATTCGTTGTTCACTGATAAGTAAAAGTCACTAAATTAACTTTACGTGAACATATAGAATAACAATAGAACTCATTGTTTTTTTCTGCCAAGTTTGTGAACCCAGTGAGATTGCGCAAAACAATAGTCAAATTAAATGCCAGTGAAAATAACTGGTTTTACAGTATGTGTACATCACTGAAGCATATTTGTCTGTGCTTTTGTTTACAGTCTATTCATACCTCTACATCACTGTGTGCTTAGTACATGGCAGAGAACTCCTAGAAAACATCACATTTGAATGATCTTTGATATATTTGTATGGAATGTACAACCCTCGCATGAAATATTGAAGTGATATTGCATAACTGCAACAGTATTGTACAAGTCATACTAATGCAGCCATACTGTGGTGTGGACTGTTAATCCAATCATGAATTTCTGAGTATCGTACAAATCTAAGAAAACTTGTTGAATTTTGTATGGTGCTATGCCCTCTGTTGTGGAAATGAAAACATCCTGATTATAATAGAACATTATTACTTTCTTTGTATATTAATGAATAAGACAGAATAAGAATTATGTAGAAGTGCTTTTACTTTTATTGTAGTGGGAGTATTGTATGAGTAAGGGATACTTGTTGGTTGTTTCACATAAGATGCTATGGCGCCCTCTATCGCAGACCGAAAAACCCTAACTGCAGTGAGATACTACAGATGCCCTCTGTGGGAGAAATGAAAAAAAAATAACTGCAGTAAAGAACTATCGTTTTCCCTAACAGACTTAAAGGGCCGCAGTCGTTGCGCCATGCATGCACAAGATATATGGGTTTCGTTTTGTAAGATGGCAACTTTGGCTGTTGTGCAGATCAACGAGTACAAACTGAGACGTTACTAAGATTTAATTAGGTGTTTTTTAGGTGAATGGAAGGTATCGAAGGAGTCGCCTGTTGTAATTAGTGCAAGTCGTGCCCAGCTCAAACCTCATACTTGTGATTAGAAGAGCACATTGTATTGTGTGAAAATCAATGTTTATCAACACAAATGTCGCACATGCATGACGACTACCGTCCTTTAAATGAATTAGGTTTCTGTAAACAGAATAAAGGTAGCAGTATTTTCCAGCTTAGGTAGCTTCAAGTTTAATACAAAGTATTTTCAAAATATTTTAAGATGCAATCCCAGGGTCGGGTTGATTTTTTTGACTGGCGTCCTCTTATAAACAATTTGTGGAAGTGTAACACGATAGTTGTTTTGTTACTGGGAACACGATTGGATAAAAGTTATGTTTGCATTGTAATCAAAGAATGGCTTCTCATCGTTGATTATGTGCAGTTTGTTTTGGTCTAGTATAATAAAACATGGTGTACAATATTGGTGAGTGTGTGTTATCTTACTTTACACAGGATAACAAATGGAGCCAGTTACTGTAGAATACTTTATTTTCGCTTGGAATTTATTTTCGCTATTTTCGCTGAAGGGATGATTCCGTGAAAATAAAATCCAGCGAATATACTTTTTTTCCTATATTTCACATTAAACTCATCAAAAATCAGTGAAAATAAATTCCAAGCAAAACGCCCAAAAAGCCTTTTCAGCGAAAATTAAATCCAGCGAAAATAAAGTATTCCACAGTATTTGATTATAAATGTGGGGTCAGAGTGTACTATTTGCTTACGGCCCCATATACTTGACAATACTGATTAATTTCAAAGAATGCAACTTTCCAAACATTCTCAACAGTTGCTAGCACATCACTGAGAGCATTTATTCAATCTCTGGTTTCAAATTGATCAGAGGATACTATTGTAAGCTGATAGCGCCCTCTATGGTGTGAAAATACCTGCCTCGTCTACTATGTTTGCGTACTGGACAAAATTGTTCTATGTTTAATGCAGATTTAGTTACCATTTTTTTTTTTTTTTTTATTTATTCTTTGATTGTTTATGCAGATATTTATTACTTAAAATTTTTATCTGCAGAAATATGCATTGTATTTGCTCTATTAGAAATACAGGCACTTCATAAAAGTGTTTCTAAGGGCAAAATAAGTTGTATTTTAATGATTCAGTATACAACACATGCAATTGTTGTTAAATGCAAAACTGGTGACTGTAAGGTATAAAAGAATCTAAAATATGCACTGTAGGCTGTAATTTCAACATGAAAGACTGTACACAAACATGCAATAATCTTTGAGCATCTACTAGTATTCTGTTTTTTATCACTTTAATACCCCGGAAGTCCATGACCCTAAGAACAAAAGATTTTTAACTTCCTCTTAAAATTTGTAAATAGAAATTCATTGCCAAATCTGATGACGAATCTCATGGAATGACATTTTCTTTATTTTTGTATGTCCCATATTCGTAAAAATAGGCTTAGGTAGATCGGCAGCCCTGGTTTGTATGAAATGTGACTTAAATGCTTTTTCCTTTGTTAACAACAATAATATATCACTGCATGTTTATTCCGACACGATTGACCACAACATAGCACTTCATCATATAAAATACCATTTTGTAATATGCAGGGAATGTGGTAAAATTATTTCGTCTTATTTTTCTGTGTTGGGTTTTTGCAGCCTCTGGATTGTGGTGTTCAGTCGGGTTTGGTGTTAGAACCAACATTATTCAGTATGTACTGGTACATTGCACGACTTGAGAATATTATTATATTTCGACATGGGCTCCAATATATGATGCATGTATAGGATAATATCAGTTGGGAAGGAGTGCTACCCTCCCCAACCACACATAGAATCTTGTCTTGGATGAAATCTGTATTAGGATGTTTAATAATATGTCCGCCCTCAACAATGGGGGAAAAATACCGATAGAATTAATTCATTTCTCTTCAAAGTTTGTTGGTAATCACAAGGCATGCGTGTTGTGCATCCTTCAAATATGTTGCATAATCTAGGTGTGATAATGGGATACGGTTGATTCCACGTCGATCAGGTAATTTGTTCAAATTGGCAGTATATATACACTTTCGAAAAATGTGCAATATACTGCTGATTCATGTATTTGTAACATTCAGACTTTATTACTGTGATAACCTACTTTCACAGTGATAATAAAATAAAACCGATTAATTTATTAATATTTACCACATGGGGGCTGCCATCTTGAATATAGCATTAAACTAAATAAGAGACAAGTTGAGAAATGAACACCTTAATACACGAATAACATAGAACACTTTCCCTATGTATGTATTTGAAATCAAAATTGTCATCTAACTGTAAGGCCATTGCTGATTGGCTCCTGAGATGGAATGATAATTTTGATTTCAAATACCCCGGGAAAGTGTTCTATGTTCTTCGTTTAATTAGGTGTTCGTATGCATATACACATATACACTGTACAGATTTTAAGTTTCATATTTTCTTTATTGCCCACTTTTTCAATTCCTTTTGAATAGCGCCCCTTACAATAACAATCTGTACATTTTATGAGAGGGAACGCCATTCAAGGGGTAAATAGAAAGTATATGAATATTTAACAGGTTAAATACAGGGAAAAAACTCTAACTAAAATATACAATAATATTAAATAAGGAGAATAATAGACGGCGTATGTAGAGATGCGTGTCATAACACCTGAACATGCTGGCAGTACGAGGACCAAGTATATTGCCAAGTTCAACTAAAAGTATTCTATCACATAAAGCAGCACAATTTCATATATAGTTCTGTTGAAAATAAATATAGTTCTGTAATTTTTGCCCATATCGATCAGACACTGACCATTTCCTAAAAAAAATTACATTTTTCGACACAAGTCATTGTGATTATCAAATGCCTAAACACGGGCATTTTAGTCAAGTTCATTTGAATTTTTAAAATTCAAGCAAGGCTGGCAAGAATCAAGATTTGCCTTCCTTGATGTGACATAATTTTTGTTTAAATATAAAAATACAGTCACGTCTGATAGCCCCCTATAATTTAGCTTCCACATGACCACACTTTGAAGACACAATCAAAGTCGGTAACGTCATACACTTGACATGACGATACACAACAAAGTTCATTACACTGTACGGTAATTTCATTTCAATACATTAATTTCTACAATCAAGCGTTGCAGATAAGTCTGTCATGTATGACGACGTTGCTTATAATTATAAAACACAGAAGCTTGTACTTCTAGCAAAGCATGTAGCTGGCGGCTCTATGTTCTTGACATAATCAAGTTAATATTTCCGAGTTGCATATTGTCCACAATCAATGATTTGTATGCAACCATCTATTGTAATTTCTTCGTTACATTTTATGCATCACCTCTAATCTCTTCGCGGCTTTACTCTTGGAAACAACTGTTGAGAAATCAAATGAGAAGAATAATCAGGAGTGAAAAAAAAAAAAAAAAGCATCAGCATGGAGGACAGAAATTGATCAATACAGTATTTCTTCTATTAGAAGTGCAAGTAAATTTAAACAGTGTTTTAGTTTGTCTTCCTTTTCTCAACCACGTAAAAGAATGTCTTTGAGGTTTTTGCTATTGACATAGACATCAACAATTTCCAAACAAAAATAATTCTTATTTGTGAATCAAGTGATTAACCTTTTCACCACCAGACTTCCTTGCCCAAATTCTGTTGCACTATTTTTTTTATATTCTTCAATATTTCTGGAAATTTTGGAACCAACAGACAAAATTTTTACTCAAAAAATTGGGTTATTTTTGACCCAATCTTCTGATAGAAAGTGCAGACTATAAACAGAACTATTTTGTGAATTTTTGTTGAAAAGAGGGAACTGGTGGTGAAACGGTTAAGTACCAGGATGTGTGGCCTTCAAGAGGTCATGCAAATAATCTATTGGGCTATGTTACACTATTAGATATCCACATCCATGAAGAAGACAAACCCTACCCCAAGAAGATTCCTTGGAATGTATCCTTCCCGGTTTCCTTTCCTAGCCCACCACCATTCTTTCTCATCTTCATCTCCACGTCTCAGCACCACCATAGCATCACCCTCTTTAAATGCTAGTTCATCCGAGTTCTCTGCTTCATAGTCGTAGACCGCATATACCACTCCCTTGTTCATTATTCCCAACTTCTCTTGCATACCTACAGTACACAACAAACATTCTTGTTAGAATGAGTGATGTAACAAGTAACAGAGATACACAGCATGGTTTTATGTGCTGACCCAGGTCCACAATGAACACAGTAAATCTGACAGCTAAATAAAGGAATTATTTTCTCTGTATTTTCACAGAGCATAACGCGAGTGGGTTACAATATTTCCTTTGTGATTACTATACTGGTAACAGCACATGTAAGTATTGCAAAAGAATCTTTCATTTTTTGTATTACCGGGTATTATTATTTCATTGCTACTATTTTAATTTGTCATTGATGTACATCATGGTAGTATAAAATACAAAACATGATGAAAAGTTATAACATACCATATAAATAATCTGAGCAGCCATCAAATCCTTCCTCATCCTCTTCACACTTTTCAGCTGCAGTCTCCACATCGCTGATAGTCGTGGCAAAAATACATGCCCCTCTCTCGACTAAAAACTTCACCATGGCCAAGTTGTTACAGGAAGCTGCACAGTGCAATGGAGTCCTGTGAAGTTAACAAGTAAGACTTTGATGTCGCATCATATCCACATTATGAATGGCGCCCTCTTTAGGTATATGGGCAAATTGTAAACTGGTGTTTTGCATGGACAGTTTGCATGCAATGTAATCAGGTCAATATGGTTGCAGTTAAATCCAGGTAATAGTGTTTAGAATGCAGAGCATTTGGAAGGTATATTTCCGAACAAATAAAAGTGTCATAAAGGTTTGTTATGTCACAGACAAGTGAAAACAATTTGTAAAATTGCAAAATAGTGCGAGATGAATATGTGGTTTCATTATTACAGTTAAGTACATTGTCATAGTGATATCTGTATAATTTAGGCCTCCAAACAATAATTAAATGCATCAGAATATCATTTATACATAGAACATTTGAAGTAGCTGGCAAGATTCCCAGCTGCACTGAGGTATATGTCAAAATAAAAATTCAACTGACCATCCATCACTGTCAGGAGAGTTCACGTCACAGCCGTAATCTGACAGGAATGTAACAATATCATAATGTCCTGCACATATTGCATTATGTAATGCAGTGATACCTTCATCATTAGAACCGCTAGGGTTAGGGACCTGTGGGGAAACAAAAACACATGCCATGAATCATACTGACAAGTATCACTGTATAAACAGGGAAAAAAACGCTCAGATGATAATGTTTTCCAATGAACTTGGAGAACTGAACTGCATAATGATATGTAGAGTAATTTTTTTTTTTTTGCATAACACTATGGATAATTGCATTAAAAGACACATGATTCCAATCTTTAATAAACACATACATGCATACTTTCTTTATACAAAATAAGTTGCAAATACCACATGTGTTTTCATGAAAAGTGCATCTCCAATATAGAAGTAAGTATGAACCCCATATCACATTTGTTGTAAATTATTAAAATATTACTTATTTTGACCACAGAAACACCACTGTAATTTACGTAAATGCATACAGTACAAATAGAGCAAATACAGCAGCTGAAATCTAAAGTGTGAAAAAAAAAATAACCAGGATGACAACAACTTACATCATTGATTATTTTTCTAACCAATAAGAATTCCCCTTCAAGAGACGCATCAAGCAGCAACGCCAGTGGATCAAAACTGACTCGATTGCTGGCAGTCTTCTTAGCTTCACGTTTTTTCAATATGGATTTCTTTGGTTGGTGACTGTAATGCTGTCGTATTTGTAAACTTTCCATGGCAGACGTCCTGGCTGTTTGTGACAATGCGTCCCTGTACTGCTGTGGAGAAGGCTCGATGGAATTGTCAAAGATCTCACGTCTGATATCATTTTTCTTCTGTGCAGGATAATATGAAGGGTAAGTATTCTGCGCTGATACAGCTGGATTGTTATGGGTAGATTGTTCCTGTTCTTGGGGAGACTGAGGGGGTTGCTGCTGGTAAAACGTTCTTCTTGACGGATCCATATTGATGGTGTTGTCGAATTTCGTAGCTGGTCGGTCAGGTTGATAGAATGTCTGACTATCACTCTCTGAGGAACTTCTTTCTCTATCGGTTGGTGGCCGTACCATTGGCATTGCTTCTTTTTCCTCTGTGTAAGAATGCCTTCTCCTCAATGGCCTGGGAACATTTCGGTGTCTGTTGTCACCTTCCCACTGCCGAGTATTTGGATACACTTGGTTATATTTTGGTGAAAGATATTTGACCGGACTAGGTGGCCTTCGATTTGGATCATTACTATAGGGTGGGGCATTCTGTCCTCCGTTCAAGTTAGGACGAGTGTTCTGAACACCTGGGAAAAGGTGTTGTGACTGCAGAGGGATTTGTTTACCATGTTGCATTCCAGATGCCGAGTAAGCTGGAAGAGGTGATGTCTGTGATGGTGGTGGTGGTGGATGTGGATATGGTGGTCTTGGCATGGCTTGCATGTAGTTTGGTGGACTGGGATGGTCCCTATAAGCAGGATGAATTGGTTCACTTCGTGGTGTATCGTAAATAGGCTCAGTTGCATTCTGGTGCATAGGCTTGACAGTAGCTGTGGTGGTTGTCACAGCTGTGGTTTGTGCAGATGCTGTTGATCTAAACGCCTCTGTGGTAGTGGTTACTGGTTTGTACGCTTCCACAGGGGGTGTTAGATTAGTGAATGTGGTACTAACTGCAGTGGGTGAGCACCTTTGATAAGACTGAGTCGTCCTTATGGTGTTATTGCCATTTCCAAGAAGAATGGACAAAGCATCATTGACAGCAGTTACAGCAGGTGGCAAATTCTCACTGGAGTTGCCTTGATGCTTTGATGTTGGTATAACAGTCTTTTGACTTGGTGATAGTTGTGCTTTGGGAGATGAGCTCTGGCTGTTATCTCCAGCTGTGGACACATGAAGAGAAGAGGCAGGTGGTCTGTAAGTCAGCACCTCTGGATTGCCAATACCAGGTTTCTGAACTCTAGTTGGGGGTTGGGAAGCCCCATTGGGTTGAGTGTTAACAGAAGTGATTTTTGTGTTTGGTGACTTAGGAGGAACAGCCGGGGGTTGTCTCTTCCAAACCGGTGATGGTGGATGATACATCTGCGGTTTAATTTCTGGGGAAGGTGGATGCTGCCCGGCTGATGAATTCCCTAGCGATGTAGGATGCCTCGAAGTCGCCACTGGAGATGGAGGTTTCTGTACCTGTGTTGCCACACTGGGCATCTTCTGATACTGTTGGTGTGACTGAGTAGTCATTGTTGGAGATGGTGGATGCTGAGGTTGTACAGCAACATTACCCTGTGCCTTGAGTGGCTCCCCATTCAATGGCAGATGACTTGGTTTTGCAGGCACAGGAGGTTTAGGTCCAACACCTCGGTTAGCTTGTACATTACTATTTTTTAGCTGCAGCTGCGAAACTGGTCTTTGCTTAGATTGCATAGCTGGATGTGGCTTTGGCAGTGTTTGGGGAGGGTGGCTTGTAGTAGTTGTAGTCGTAGCTGTTTGAACACCTGCAATCGCTGCAGAATACGATGGAAGAGGAGCAGACGTTGTGATCGGTTGCTGATTGTTACTACTTAAACTACTACTACTACTACTGCTGTTATTACTCTTAGAGTGGGAGGGGTAAATAACCATATTCTCAAGACTGGAATTGTCTGTGATAGAAGTGGAATCACTACTACTTTCAGTGTTTCCTTCCGGTTGTCCCCGTATACCTGGCACTAAATTATCACTGTTACTTTGAGATAAAGTCTCTGTCAATTTCACAGCATGGCCTTTATAATTCTGTATTGGCTGTACAGGCTTGGCTGTATTGTTATTTTTATTTCCACCTTTCTCTGGCATCACCCCGTTCACAGTTGAACTATTGCTTTTACCCTTTTCTAGGTCACCATCTGCATGTTTCAAATCATTGGCATCTCCTGCTTCCACAAGCTTTGGCTTAATTGGTATAGTATACGTGTCTTTAGATGTTTCCGGCCGGTTAGATTTATTTGGTGCTTGCACACTGTATGGTTCCACAGCGGCGATATTTGTTGGCCTACTGTTTGGCGTTCTGGGTAACGATACTATCCCATTTGGCATATTGTTGAAGCTATGCTGCTGTAGGTGATACGGTTGCAATGGTGACTGTTGCTGTTTATGCTGATGTAATTTTTGCTGTGCCCGTCTTTTCCGTAGCCTTTCAGCCAATTCTTCGATACGTTGATCCATGGTGGCTACTTCTTCCTTACGTTGCACAATAACCTGTTGCTGTGCTTGAAGTTTTGAGCTCTGTTGCTCATTTAATTTGTTTCGAATCTGAAAAAAAAAAAAGAGTATGAATGAATGAAAACAACTTGAGCTGGAGAAGTAAAGAATTCTGTACTATTGATCAGTGACAATGCATCATGGGATATTAAATATATTTATAAAACTATTATCACACTGAAATCACACTAAATTAAATGTGAATTATTAGCTCTAGCACAATTATTAGCAATATTAGGATTTATATCATTATGAAATTTTCTATCCATTATGTCAAGCAAAATGACAAGATATGAAGAAATTCTTTCACCATGGAAAACAATGTATTATAAAACAAACGATAGAATGCAAAATTTTCCATTTTTTTTTAGAAAATTGTAAAAAAAAATTCTTCAAATTTTCTGTCAGTTTTGTCCAAACAAAGTTGGTTTCATACAAGTAAATGCTCCAAAACTTGCTGTTTTTTTTTAGGGTCAAACATTAGAAATCATGGTTTGTGTCGTCTTGTACGAACATGCTTATTTTTCATGAATATGACAATATGTTTCTACTGGAACACCTTGAACTTTTTTTAACAAATCTTTCAGCCACCTTTCAAATAGTATCACTATTGATAAAAAGGAAATTAAAATATAGAATTACAGTGTCACAATATCGACCTTTGAAATTTGACCTCACCCCAGGAATGTCAATTTGGTTTTTCACTCACCATGAGTTCTTTTTTCAGTCTCTCCACCTCGGCTGCAGCTGGTGTGTTATACATGCTGTCCCCATTCAATCCGTTTATTTTACCCTTTCGTAGCATCTCCAACTGTTCCGTGAGCTCATCTACTTTGGAAACAGCAATAGCCAGTTCTTTTTCTTTTTCACTGAACAGCTGTCGTATCGTTTCTAGTTCAGAGGCTGTGGGAGTAAAACGAGTCACCGATAAAAATGTCTGCCTTGTTCAAATTAATCAATGAACAGTTTACATCAGGATATTGTTTCAAAAATACTTTGCAGTTTAATCAACTCAAAGGTACATTCTCTGGAATGAAAACACATGTGCCAGACATTATAAAGTGGGGTCAGAAAGTAAACTAAGAGTAAGCAATGAAAGTATGGCTTCTTATAAATGATTTTAACAGACTGAATGGAGGGTCTATATTCCAAGACGGGTCTCCTGATAAGATATGAGGGGTTAGCTAGGTGGGGGTACAGAATCTGTACACCATATTTGTACATTCTAATTTACCGGTATAGTGCAAGCTTTTGTGTGGCTAAGAATTTGTTTGTGATGTATGGAAACATATTAATAAGCCTCACTCACTTAATGATACATTATTGGTTTTTGTAGTATCCACCTGTCCGCGTATTGCCCTTAATTTACGTAATTTCAGTTCCTGGCTTTCAACTTTTTCTCTAAGCTTCCTTAGTCTTTCATTCTCTGCTGCCATTTGCTGTAAAGATGAGAAAAAAAAAAATCAACGATGAGTCTAGTTTAATGAAACCTTTCATTACAATCCACTGGGATGGTAATCATCATGTTCCAATCAGCATGTTCCAGTTATATTTAACCTGTTAGCATTTGTTGGTTACATTTTAAAATGGATTCAAATTTCAAAAGGTATTTTCCATAGCTTATGCAACTCAGCTAGTCACAGTGAGCTTCGTTTAGTCTCCTACCAAGTGACCACAGGAAGCCTGGTGTCGTACAAAATTAGAATTCCATTTAGAAAACCACAGGAAACTCTCACATAACTAATTCATGTTAACAAGCACTCAGGTAGCTTTTACAGCTCAGCATTGCAGTGCATGCAGTTTATGCAAATCTGTGAATTACGTCCAGTCACCATGGCAACAGAATATTTTCATCTGTCATCGTCACAGACTTTGGATAATGCGATGAAATAACAAACAAAGCTACATTAAGAGAATCAGTTTTTCTTTTAACAAAATTATTATTATGTCCTCCCATCTCTAAACATCATAAGACTGATTGTAAAATACTTTACTATAGTATTATGTACACTACAAATGCATATAAAATTTATGAAAAGCAGTTCTTTGACATTTAACATTTTTGGAATAAATTGAAAAATTAAAACAACAGCTTTAACTGCCACAGGCAGCAAATATTTTGGATGAATTCAATTTTTTTCCCGTGAAAAAAAAATAACAGCTTCATTCCCATGTACCATTTTTTCCCTCAAGATTGTAATGTTTTTCTCTCTAGTGAAACATGTTTTCCGAAA